TCCAAGAAGAATACAAAACCCTTGTAAGACAATTAACCCAAAAGCTCACAAGAAGAGAAGAAGAAGGAGATCCAGAACACTTTCAAAAACAAACCCTGTTTTTTTGTATTGCTAGAGCAGTTCGTCCTTCTTCCTTCTAGCAAATCTAATTTTTTATGTCCTTTTAATAGTTGGTTATGAGCCTTGCAATTAAAACCCATTTAGCCTTTTAAAGCCACCTCACAATTGCCCCAATTAGGTTCCACCTATTTCTTCTGACTTGTCTTAGAAAGTGCTAAGACATTTAGATACCCTATGACCCATTAAGAATAAATAGATAGTTGAGTTGTCAAAATTTAACCTTCCAGAATTTTTGCTTCGAAACCAGAAATATTGGTTCGAATCATTTTCAAAAAACAAAAGTTCGGGATTGATTCGAACCAAAATAAATTGGTTTGAACCCAGAACTCTGAACAAGGAGAACATGAATTAATTCTAATCGTGGGGAAAGATTAGAAATCATGGATTAATTTTCCTGCACACTTAGCACAAAAATAGATTAAACTCTTTTGAATCATGGTTTTAAATCATCATCAAAATACAAAGAGAACCTAACAATCTCCCCCTTTTTGATGATGACAAAAACATGCCTTAAAATAATAAAGATAATAAGTGTAAGCTCCCCCTCAAAATATGCTTCCAAGATTCAACAGGAGTTGCACAAACAAGAAATAGAGATAATTTTCATTTAAGTTCCTCTCCCCCTTTTTGTCATTAGCAAAAAGAAACATACAAATCAGCAAAATGTAGTAGACAAAAAACAATACCAAGATAGCATCAAAGTCAAACATTTTATATAATTAAACCAGAATTCTTACCGACTTTGCCAATACCTTTGATGTGACCTTTTGCATTGTTATAAAAAATCACCGTTCCTACTTCCACTGCCTCAAGGTTCAAGAATTGTGATTTGTCTCCTCATATGTCTAGAACACCCATTGTCTAGAAAATTTTTCTTTCTTCAAATTTTCCTTCAAGCTTCCTTGAAAACACAACTTAAGCACTTGATTTTGGCACCCAAACTTTCTTGGGTCCATTTAAGTTAGTCGAACAAGTAGAAATTTTCTTAGGAACCCACTTTAAATTCATCTTAAAGAAATTCTTTCTAGTATAGCACTGATGAATATAGTGTCCCCTTTTTAAACAATAATGACAAATGATACCATCATGAACATGATTATCTCTAGAACTTGATGCTTCTACTATGTCATAAGAATGCAAAGTATTACAATTCATAAAAATAATAGATTTAGATGAGGAAGACTTAGATAATTCAAAAGAAGGTCCAGCTCTATTATGAGGAAATCTTTGCGAACTTAAATTGTTGTCTAACTTACCTTTGCCTTTCACAAAATTGTTCAAAGAACATTAAAGAGAGCTTATTTCCCTTTTTAATTCATCTACCAGCGTATCATACTCTTCAATTAGCTTTTGTTTGCAATTTCTAAATGCAATTGTTGACTCTTCCAAGTCAATTTCCATATTTTGACTAATTATCTTTTCCTCATTTAAAGATTCTTTCAAATCACTATTTTTTTTTCTAAGTGACAAAATTTCCCTTTTTAAAGATGCATTTTTTGCACTAATTTGTTTAGTATGCTCATATAATTCACTAAATGCATCTTGCAAATCTTCATATGGCATTTCATCATCACTAGCATGATCAAAAATAGAAGAAGAATTGGAATTTACCTCATCTGTGTCATCATTTGCCATGAGACAAATATGAGCTTCCATGTCACTTACTTCTTTACTAGAAGATGAGTCCTCACTGCAGCTCCATGTGGCAACCATTGCCTTCTTTTTCTTTTTGGCTTTTAGACTTTTTTCACCATTGTTTGGACACTCAAATTTAATATGTCCAGCCTTCTTACATTTGTAGCAGATAATTTCATCCTTTTTACTGCTTTCTCCCTTTCCTTTACCGCTTTTGTAATTTTTTTTTTTGTTGTCCTTAATTCTTCAGCTTGTCTTTCCTTAGGAAACTCTTAAACTTTCGAGCAAGCACTATAAATTCTTCATCATCCTCTTCATCACTGTCACTTTCATCTTTGGAGGAGCTTTTGAAGGCTACAGATTTCTTCTTCCGAGAATCATCATCACTTTCATCATTTTTCATGGCCATTTCATGTGTAAGAAGCTTCCCTTGCAGCATCTCAACAGTCATGACACTTAAATCATGAGCTTCTTCTATTGTCATCTTGATTGAACTCCAAGATTTTAGCAAGGAGCGAAGAATTTTTCTGACCTTATCTTCCTCTAAAAGCACCCTATCAAAAAGCTTTAATTCATTTGTGATTTTGGTGAAACGAGTAAACATGTCTTTAATGTCATCATCTGATTTCATTTTGAACAGCTCATATTTTTTAACCAACATGTTAATTTTTGATTTCTTGACTTCATTAGTTCCTTCATGAGCCACTTGTAATTTATCCCACATTTCCTTAGCAGAATCACATGCACTAATTCTATCATATTCACTAGCATGTAAAGCACAAAATATAATGCATTTTTAGCTTGAGCATTTATCTGCAATTTCTTTTTTTCAACTTGATCATATGATGCAGGATCCTTAGGAACAAGTTGGTTATTCTGGTCTCCAGCTAATACTTTATAAGGTCCTCTAGCAATGCAATCCCACATCTCATAGTTATTTGCTTCTAACCAAATTTGCATCCTATTTTTCCATTATTGACAATTTGTTCCATCAAAATAAGGTGGCCTAGTGATTGAATGACCTTCAACAAAATGAGCTTGGAAAGCCATAGATCTACTCAAGATTGTTAAATCTATTTCTAAGAGAACCTGCTCTGATACCAATTGTAATCCCAGCTAGCTACCCCTTAATTCCTAAGACATAAAACTCATTTCTTTTCCTTTATAAAAATGTGAATGAAGTTTTCAATATATATGTATAATCTGTTGTGCAAAATAAAACAAAGATCAACTGCAATCTTACAAATAAAGTGCAGAAAAATAAAAAGACAGGGAAGAGAATATCAAGTCGTGATTTATAGTGGTTCCTCCAACCCGAAGTACGTACACTCCCCAAGCCTCCTTGCTCGAGAGTTCAATCCACTAGAAATCTCTTGCTTACGGGTGCAAGATTAAATCGAAACAAACTCTTGCTTGCGGGTGCAAGATTAAACCCTCACAAGTGAATCTCAACTCACTCAACCCCTTCAAGGATTATCCCAATCCAAGAAGAATACAAAACCCTT